AAAAAAAAAAAAAAAAAAGAAAGTTCTGAAAATGAAAGGGTGAGGCTTTCATTTGCCATCCCAGGTTCTCAGGGGCTGAGGCAGGAGGATCTCTTGAGCCCAGGAGTTTGAGGCCAGCCTGGGTAACATAGCGAGACATCATCTCTTAAATAAAAATTTAAAAAATTAAATAATATGTGGCCGGGCGCGGTGGCTCAAGCCTGTAATCCCAGCACTTTGGGAGGCAGAGGCGGGTGGATCACGAGGTCAAGAGATCGAGACCATCCTGGTCAACATGGTGAAACCCCGTCCCTACTAAAAATACAAAACATTAGCTGGGCATGGTGGCACGTGCCTGTAATCCCAGCTACTCAGGAGGCTGAGGCAGGAGAATTGCCTGAACCCAGGAGGCGGAGGTTGCGGTGAGCCGAGATCACGCCATTGCACTCCAGCCTGGGTAACAAGAGCGAAACTCCGTCTCAAAAAAAAAAAAAAAAAAAAAATTAAATAATATGTGAACAATTTCAGTATTCCCTGAAATTTGACCTCCAAACTTAGCGCCAAAGTTGTTATCCAAAGGAAGAAAACATTACAAATACCCCCTTACCACCTCCTGTGCCCCTCTGTGTCCCAGGTTTTAGGGCTCTGTGATAGAACCTCAAGATAGAGTTGAGGTTAATCTCTGCATTTGAACCAAAAGTACTGTATTATGCAAACAAGCCACAAAGAATTGGTCTGTGATCAAGCGCTGCAGGGGTTGAGGGTTCCTGACCTCTCCTCATCCTCAGCTTAGCTACTGAAACCCTGTCCCAAGAAAGCCAGGCTAGGCTTCTGCCAAAGACAGAGGACACTAAAAGATAGCTGGAAGAGGGAACTTTTCATCCAGACACTAACCCACCTTCGAGCTTTTGTTCTCTGGAGCCTCATCTTACCCCGGCCCCCAGCCCATTCCTCTCCTGTCCCTGGCTCTGGCTCTCACTCTCCACCCCAACCTTCATTCCCTCCACAGCTCCCCAGTGGTTATAGTGGAGGGGACGAGACCTCCTATCACCTGATTCCAGCTCCTTGGCCAGAGGAGCAGTAGCCACCTTGTCCTTGTTCAGCCTGTCTTGCAGCTGCTTATTGATCTGATTTGCAATATCTGTCACCATCTCTGAAGTAGAAAGCCTGACAGACAACAGGAGGGACTTCCTGCCAGGGGGGTAGCTATGATCAGAAGGTAGTGAGAGCCCTCTCTTTCCTTGAGGAGGAGGAATAAGTGGTGAGACCCTCCTCTGGCTGAGAGCAACCTCCTCAACCCAAGGAACCTTGGGAATGTGGGTGGGTTTCCCCCACAGGAATCTCCCATCAGCCTTGATGCTAGCTCCGCCCCCCTGCAGCGGTGGGGTGACACCCAGGAGCACTGTGTTCCAGAAAACCCCAAAATAACCTGCCTCACTGTCCGGCTGCTATTTCTGTCCATCTTGTTTAATTATTCAAACCTAAGTTAGGGAGTGAACTATAAAAAGCTCTCCTACTTGGGGACCCAGGAGAGCTGGGAGACTCGCCAGGTTGCAATGGCAGTAGACCGAAGCATTTGGGTGAGGTCGCTTGGTCCAGCCTCCTGCCTGAAAGTTCCATCTGCTGTGTGGCTGCTTCCTCTGCTGGAAGGCAGAACGCAGGTCTCTCTCCCAAAGCTCCCTCGTGCCCTCACTTCGGCATCCCTCCAGCTCCTATCCTGCCTGGGACCTGTCCTCCCCACGCTTGACTCTGGCCATACTTATTCTCAGCTGTCCCTTTGCTGACCTGCTCCCTAGTTCAGGCTTCTTTTTTCCTTTTTCTTTCTTTTTTTTTTAAGATGGGGTTTCACCATGATGGCCAGGCTGGTCTTGAACTCCTGACCTCAAGTGATCCACCCACCTCGATCTCCCAAAATGCTAGGATTACAGGTGTGAGCCACTGCGCCCGGCCTAGTTCAGGCTTCTTAACCGACACATAATATTGTTAGACTCAAGCATCAGCAGTGGAGGGAGGTGGGATGGCAGAGGACTAGTTCGGTGGACACAGAGACAGGGAGATGGCAGCAGGCCCTTGGGTGGCATCACCATCAGCGGGGGGTGGAGAACACTGTTCTGGGTGGAGCAGTTTTCAGCTGTCACCGGTGCTGAGCCTCTTCAGGAGCTTCTCTTGGGAACTCTGACACAGTAGCCGAAGGGATGGAGGTAAGGCAGCAGGAAGGACCTAGTCCTTCTTTTCTTTTATGGGCCTGTTCCTCTTCTAATTGGTCTAGGCTGAAGTCCAATGTCAGTTTCCATTAAAACGGAAACATAGGGCAGGCTAAGTGAGAAAGGCTCGTCTCCCTGAGGGCCACTTCTGTGACCCTTCCTACCACAGGCCTTTCCTAAAAAGGTAGTAACAGAGGGTTATAGTCATGGTGGCTCTGGCGATGTGGGATTGTCACAGTGACTGGTCTTTGGGGGTGGGAATGAGAAGATTCTTGCTAGTGAGAGAGAGACTGGCAATTTTACAGCTTGAGCAGGAAGAAGGGCAAGGGAGGCTGTGGCAGCCACAGAGACCTACACATGAGCAGGAGTTATGGGATGCACAGAAGGACAAGGGGCAGCAAAAGTGACACTTGAGCCCCAAGGAGGGAGAGACCCCAGGAGCAGACCCAAAGACCCAGGGCAGACAGGGGCTGACAACTGACAGCACGGAAGTGGAGTAAGACGCCCAGTGTGGGAGGGGGAGCAGCAGCCTGGCAGAGCCCGGGACAGGGGAGCCGGGCAGGGCTTTCCAAGAGTCAGTGTGGGACCCGAGTGTTTAAAAAGAGCTTTGGGTTTCACACTCAGGCCTATTTTGGGGCTTGTTCCCACACATCTCCGTCAGCAGCAGTGGCAGCTCCTGCGAGGTCCAGCCCAGCTCTCCCTTTCACGGCTGCTCCTTGGCTGCTGGGGGAGGTTGCTGAGGTATGGGGAAGAGGTGCGCCGTTGCTAAGCAACAAGAGGCTGTACACCTGGAGGGCCTAGGAGGGGACCCTGGCACCGTAGGCATGGGGGAGGCAGGGAGGCAGTAAAGGGTGGACCAAGCGCAAGGCTCCCTCTCCCATCCTCCCCAAGACAGTTGCAGAGGAGGGATGGACCCGTCGCTCAGGAAGCCTGTTGAGTTAGCTCTCAGTCCCCGGGGAGGCTGCGATTGTGCGTGCAACCCGTGTGATGCTCCGTGGACTGAGAGTTTTGGAGGGGGTGGGGCTAGGGCATGAAAGACAAGGGTGAGCATCTTTCACACCAGTCTTGGAGGAAGGTCGAGGACTTACTGTCTGCTAAATGGTAGGAACTTCTGCAGAAATCCAAAGGCCTGAGAGCGGAAACTTAGGGAGGTGACAGAATGGGAAGAGAAGCCCGTCGGAACCTGGGCCAGCCTCCCAGTTGCAGAGGCTACCAAGGAGCCTACACAGAAGGGAGGCGGCAGGACAGCAGGGGCCCCGCACCCATCAGCCATCTGCCGGAAGTCTCAGTGTCCTCAAAGCTGAAGGGCTGCACTGTATGTCCTTATGTTTCTTCCCATTTATTATTTTTTTTCCCGGTGGACAGGAGTTTGAGTGAGGTAACGATCGAGAGGGAAAGACCCCTCCACTGACCCTGTCACCCACCTCACTGCATCTCTAACAGGCCCGTGGGCCTGTAAATGTGAGGAGCAGCTAAGGGTGACACAGGACCATTGCCTCCCTTTTTCTGTCACTTCCTCCATTGCCTCAACCCCTATCTGGAAGAGTGCACCTTCATTCAAGAAGCAAGGATTGAACACTTGTGACGCGCCAGCCAGGGTGCGGGGAAGTGCTGAGGGGTGGGTGCCGTGGTGGCCGACACCCAGCCCCTCCTCCATGGTGCCCGTCTCCTCCCTGGTATCTTGGCAGGCTCCCGTTCTTCCATCAGACGCTACACTCGCATATGTTGCACATACTGGTTAATAGCTTCTTGCTGTCCATCCTGGCATGGTCCCCAAATTCCGCAGGGAACAGGGTGTGCTTCAGCCCCCTCCTTCTCTCACTACGGGCTAGGAAGTTTTGAGTCTTCCATCTCACACGCCCCAGAGGCTGCATTTGCCGAGTATGGGGCAATGTGAGGCCTTCTTATTCCTGACCCACGAGAAAGATGTCAAGTTGGGGACAAGAGACTATAGGCTTGTTTTGCTTTCATTCCCCCTGTATGCCAGGCACTCTGAAGGCATTATGTGCACTATTTTCATCATCACACAATAGCCCATAATTCTTTGTCTGACATCTGACAAAGAATGATCAGCCTCATTTTACAGACGATGAAACTGACGCTCAGAGGGGTTAAGGAGCATGTTCATGTTCATACAGCACAAAGTGGCTCTGGGATTTCAACCCACAGAGTACAGTTGGGATGATACCCTCCCGAATTCAGTGTTGAAAGTGCTACTGAGACAGAAGAGGGCACGGAAAGATCCAGTCACCCAGGGACCTCTCAATTTCTCAGATTTGGAGTAGGTTGGGAAAGAAGATTGGGTCAAACGGACCTGAGATCCAGTCCCGGCTCAGTCATTTACGGCTGTGTGATCTTGGGCGAGTCACTCACCCTTTCTCAGTTTTCTCAGTGATGGTATGACAGCAATGTTTGTTAAGTGCTGCCAACATTACCGTAGATCATGTAAACTATGTACAATATACTTCATTGCCTTGCA